GGAAGTTCAGCAAATAAATATAATGCCTAAAGTGGATAATTGAAGAAAAGCAGTGTTTTGTATTATTTAAAGTTAAGGAGGTAACTATTAGTAACACTAAAATTAGAAATCCTTATAAGCTTTTATTATTTTCCTAATCAAGAATTATACAATTCTTCATTTAAAAAATTAAGCGATAATATTTTGGCACAAATTAATTCTATAAATGCTGAAATCAAGAACACCAAACAAATCAAGCTGAATATATTCCTTTGCAAATGAATTCAGTCTGAAAGATATATTTGGAAGTAAAAAATAACCTCTCAGCCAACAATATTTTCCCAAATCTGTGCCACACTTTCCAAGGTGATAGCAGTGCCACACCTCTTGGCAGGGAGACACAAATCCTGGGGAGGTGCAACATTAGTGCCTTACAGCACAATTTCCAACTCTACGTGTTATCCCGCCATTTCCTCCAGGCTCACATGCTGCTTCTCCAGTTCCAGCACGTGGGTGCCATGTACCTGGAGGGCTGATACGCTCTCTTTAAGAGATGGCTACCCAGATTCTCAGGTTCACATTTCTTGCAGGCAGGTGATCTGCAAGGTGTTGTTTCCTTCAGTAGCGAGAAGACAGCTCTTTGGACCATTCTAGCATGTCAGAGCTGATGCCTTTTTCTCTCTTTACCTAACCCTCCTTCATGCAATGCTTAAGACTTGCATTCTTCCTAAGGTACACCTCACAGGAACATGTTACATTAACACCTTCTGAGGAACTAAAACCCCAAAGGTATTTAGACAAACATGGAATGTGGTTCTTCTTTTTCTCGGTGATATAGTTGCTTCACTTTCCCTAATTTACAGCTTTCCTATAGATACTGGAACAATTCCAAGTTTTTGAGTACCTGTTATCTGTCAGGTTCTGTGCCAGAAATTGACAACCTAGCTTAACAGATAAATTACACCCCCCCCCCCAAAAAAAGTAACAGAATATTAATTCTATGGTGAAGGTAAACATAGGGTGCTATTGAAACATGTATGAGGAGAACTAACCCGGCCTGAGAAAGTTAAGCAAAAATGGAGAAGGTCATTCCAGGGAGGGGATACAGCATACACAAGAGCCAGAATAAGGGTAAATTGTAAAGTTCTCATCACACATGAAAAATTTTGTAACTACACATGGTGATGGATGGTATATGTGATCATTTGTCAAATATATATAAATATTGACTATTATGTTGTATGCCTAAGACAAATGTAAATTATATCTCAAAAATAAGAAATAAGAAAAAAAAAGGTACTAAGTGGAAATGCAGTGAATTTAGAAATAAACTTGGGAACAATTATTTTAAATAGTATCACCCTGGCTGGTGTGGATCAGTGGTTGGGCATCAACCCATGAACCAGGTCAGGGTTCAATTCTGGGTCAGGGCACACGTCCAGATTTTGGCTTGATCCCCAATAGGAAGTGTACAGGAGGCAGCTGATTGATGTTCCACTCTCACATGGATGTTACTCTCTCTCCCTCTTCCTCTCTCTAAAAAATCAATAGGTATTATCATCCAGGAAAAATAAGTCTCTACAAGTCATTCAAGATTCATGCCCTTTAATAAGAGTTTGTAATTACATAGGCCTGTACCTTTCTCATTAAATTTATTCCAAAGGATTTTATAAACTTGTCACTATTATAAGGAAAATTTTTAATGCGTTGCTTCAAATGCAAACTGGATATAGCCAACTTGGAGAAAAACTATTAGCTTTTGTATATCTATCATATAACCAGCCAAATACTTAACTATTGTGGTGAATTACATTGCTTTTGTATGATTAAAGCAACCTTGCATTCCACAGATAAACTCAACTTAATAATGATGCATAATCTTTTTTATACAATGTGAACCCACTTTGCTTAGAATAGTAGCAATTTTAGAATAGTTCCACGATAGTTTTGAATGAGGTTAGACTACCATTTTCCTTTCCTGTTCTATCTTTGTTTTGATATCAAGGTCATGTTAAACTAATTAAGAAATGGAAAATGTTTGCTCTTCAATGTGTTTCTTGAATTTTGCAAGTTGTTTGTATTATATCCAGATGTAGATCATACCTAACATTGTTTATTTGATCTATCTCTCCCTCAACCTTGAGATGTTAATGTTATGCGCTTCTCAAAGAACTGAATAAAACAATGAATTACTATGAGCTGTATAAATATCACAGGTTTAGTAACAGAATGCTGCCAACATCACGTAAGTAACCATGTACCCCTTCCTCATTTTTTAGCCATGGAGGTTATGAACGTTGGTTTTTAGCAATGTTATACTTTCTTGCTTTTCTTTGAATGTTTGCCAGTTAACTCTCTAACCTTACACAAGAGAGTGTCACTTTACCAATTTTTAAATTTTATCTAAGTGAAATCATATAGTTGTTATTCTTTTATATCTACTTCCTTACATTCGATAATTATGCAGGTCACTGCAAGTTTATTAGTTCATTCCATGCATGACCAAAACACCATATATCAATCTAATATAAATTTCTGATTTTTCAGTTTCAGGTTATTACATGTTATACAGCTAAGAACATTCTTATACATGGATCCTTGTATTCATATGCCTACATTTCTCTGGAATAAATATCTAAGATTTAAACTGTTGGGTTTTAAGGTATGCATATCTTAAAACCTCATTGGTTAATTCCCAAGTGTTTTGAAAATGGTTACACAATTCAGACTCCTACAAGCAATGGAAGAGACTTTTGCTTTCCATCTGGGCCAAGCCAATATAGTGCATGTGCAATGAATGGTATCTTATTTGTACCTTCTTATTATGTATAAAAACATTTGTATACCTTAACTAATAAAGAATTTTAAAAAAATTTCTTAATAAGCTTAAAAAATCCATTTGGGTTTTCATTTGTGAAATGCCTGTTTTTCTATAGGGATGTTTGATTCTGACTGTTTGGTTCTTTTTGCATTCTGTATATAAGTCCTTGTCAGTTACATATATTATGCACATGTATTCTGTGATTTCCACTCTTACTAATGTCTTTTCAAACTAGCTCTTAATTTTAATGTAGATTTATCACTCTTTTCCATTATAATGATCTTAAACGTGTTAACATGTTTAAGCAGTCTTTTCCAACCTGACAATTACGATACTCTCCTATATTATCTAGTGAAGTCTTTATATTTTTACCTTTCAGATTTAGGTCTATAATCCCCTTGGAACTCATTTTTGCATAGAGTGTAAAAAAGAGAGATTAGTTTATTTATTTAAATAAAGATACCCATTTTTCTCAGAACCATTTACTGAGTAGACTCTTTTCCCACTGTTTTAAGTTTCACTTTTACCTGTTAGTGGGTTTTCGATTGTGATCTATTATTGTGTTCAGTATATCAAGAGCTCTAACATCTCACTGCCTTCATTTCTACACTTTATAGTTAACCATGTTTCTGATAGAGCAAGTCCTCATACTTCAACTGATTGGTTATTCTTAACCCTTTGTATTTCTGTATTAATTTTGGGAATAATTTATCATGTATACACACATAAAACCTGTATTTTGATCAGCTTTGTTTGAATCTATAGTTCAATTTGGGCAAAACTGCTATTTTTCAATATTGAAGTATCCAATCCATGACTATGATAAAGCATCTCCATTAAGGTGTAAATATAACTCTATAGTCTTCTCTGTAAAATCTTGTACATCTTCTATTTGATTAAATACTTCAATAATTTTTATGCTATTGTAACAAGTAATTTAAAAAATATATATTTTCAACATGTTTGTGGCTGGTGTCAAGAAATACAATCTATACTAATAAAAGGGTAATATGCTAATTAGACCGGATGTCTTCCAGATGACCTTCTGAATGTCCTTTCTGACAAAGCCAGGCATGGGCGAAGCTGTCGCGGTCCTTGGCGCCTGCAGCTGCGGCCAGCCCAGGTGAAGCCGGCCCAGGTCCCAGGTGCCTGCGACTGGACAGAGGAAGGAAGCCTGGGTCCCAGGTGCGGGGCTGAAGCAGAGGTTAACCACTGGGGCGATCAGGCCAGCAGGGGAGCAGTTAAGGGCAGGGTGTGCAGTTAGGGGCAATCAGGCAGAGGTGGTTAGGGGCAATCAGGCAGGCAGGCAGGTGAGTGGTTAGGACCCAGCGGTCCCGGATTGCGAGAGGGATGTCCAGCTGCCGGTTTAGGACCGATCCTTGTGGGACCGACCGGTCCTAAACTGGCAGTCAGACACCCCCCGAGGGGTCCAGGTTTGGAGAGGGTGCAGGCCGGGCTGAGGGACCCCCCTCCCGTGTGTGAATTTTGTGCACTGGGCCTCTAGTCCTATATAATAAAAGCCTAATATGCTAAGTGTCTGGTTGTCCGTTCAACCAAAGCTTAATATGCTAACGATATGCTAAGGCTACTCCACTGCTCACTAAGTCATGCACTGACCACCAGGGGGCAGACTCTCTGACTGGTAGGTTAGCTTGCTGCTGGGGTCTGGCCAATCAGGAATGAGCAAGACATACTGGACATGCCCTGGAGCCCTCCCATGGTCCCTCTCTGGCTGGCCAACCTCCTGTGTCCCTCCCCGGCCCCAATCGTGCACCGGTGGGGTCCTTCAGCCAGGCATGCGCCCTCTTGCAATCCGGGACCCCTCAGGGGATGTTGGAGAGCCGGTTTCAGCCCGATCCCACAGGCCAGGCCAAAGGACTCCCTGGAGCATGAATTTGTGCACTGGGCCTCTAGTTGATAATATTTGTATACTGATTTTTGTATCAGACTTTAATCTCATAACTTATCTGTGTACATCCAATATGTTTCTAATGTCATACCTTATGCCATTTCCTCTCACTTGGAACCCCCCATTTTTTGGAGGGACTCACAGTTCCATTCCCAATAAAATGATAAAAGTGGTGTAATTTCTACCAGAAAAATGCATATGTGCATATAAACACAATTTTATATAACTATCATAGAATCCACTATTCCCATTCTGCAAAGTGGAGTCCAGATTAAAAATTAAAAAACAAAATACACTCGGGTCTTAAGTATTTATTTACAAAGTTCTTACTAATACAACTGCTTTTAAAATATAGCAAAAAAGTGGTACATACATGGTATAGAAAAATCTATATAGTCAGTTAAACTATTAAGAACATAACCAAGAACTGTTAAATGATAATTAAATGTTTATAGTAATCCCTAAACAGGTAGGAAATAAAAACAAAATTATTCATAAGAACTTGATTATTTTGTATTGCTGACTATAAAACAAACAAAAAAACTATTGTGAAAAAGAATAGCAAGGCTTGAAAAATATTTTACAACACAAATAAATGTATTTCAATTTTACATTTTATATGGGACGACAATAAAAAGTTGACCATACACATACCCATGTAATATTTGACAGTAGATTAATAAAACTAATGCCAGTTTTAGAGTTATTTCATAAAGAGTATAAACAATCTTTACTACAATTTCCCCATGGTCATCCTTCAAAAACCCCACACACTATCAAATTAAATCAAGATTTGCTAGTGGCTAAAAATCACCATAAATATAGGCTCTGAAGCAGCTACAAGTATACACCCATATCATGTTAGTGCAAAATATACATTGTTTTTTTAATCTTTCTGTTCTTATCTCAATTTGCAAAAGTATTTTGAAACAATCTCCTTTAACTGTTATTCTTTTTAAGGGCAAATCTTTTTAAATCCACACACTAGATCTTAAAGACACTTGAGAATAAATTAAACTGCAAAAGGAGCAGTTAACTACTTCAAACAGCACATGTAAAACAAGACCCCACTATTTAATCAGTTATCTATGCAGGTTTTTAATATAATTAAGTACTGTGATATCACCTAATTTCTGCACAAATTGAGATACATAAATATATACTTCCGAAATTCATTCATGGGCACTATACAAAGAAATCCACAGCAATATTTGGCATCCACCAATGAAATTTATTTACTGTATGTGTCAGGTTGCAGCACTACTGGTATCATGAATAACTTAAGATATTGGTCTTCAAGTGAAGGATTCAGGCAAAGAGAAAAATTACATCAAAATCAATATAATCTTTTAATAAATTAACTTGAAAAATGTAAGAGGTTAACCTTACTCTTTCAAGAAGAAAACCAACTGGCATAGTGTAGTGTTATCTATCTTCTTTCCAGCTTTCACCAAGTGCTAATGACAAGTACCATATAAGTCAGTTCCTTATTTATGTATGAAGTGTTAAGTTTCTATAAATTAAGATTTTTTTAAGCTTCATATCAAATGAGTTGTTGATCTACTTAAAGTATGACTTCTCCTTTCAAAGAAGGAAGGAAGGGTGACAAGGGAAGGCGATGGAATACCCTGTAAAGATAAGACAAATATTTTATATTTATACTTTTTCTTTTTAAAAGTTAAAACATACAGTTATGCATCATGCATATCATTTTTACATTTCACAAAATACCATAACAATTAATTTAAAGACATCTAAAAATCCTAAACTCCTTAAATAAGTAAAAGAATTTAAAACTGGAGGGGAGGAAATTTCAGCATTCTGAAAACAAAAGAAATGGATTCACTAGTTAACTACATATCAACTCACTAGAATAGATATTGGCTTACAGCTAGTGGTGGTAATTAACTTCTATGAGATATTAATAACTCAGTGTTTCAGGTTATTAAAAAAATTACAAATTAGTAAACAAGTTTTGAGGTAAAAAGATAAAACCTAGTGGTTTCTTCTTAACCATAAAGCAAAATTAAAAGAGATGATTTTATGAGAAATAAATTTTCTAAATTTGAAAGTCATATAGTCCTAAAGAGGTTTTGGATTATGTATACAACCCATATTTATGTATGTATGTATGTTTGTGATTTTGCTCCATATAAAAATTGAGTCCTAGCTGGTTTGGCTCAGTAGACAGAGCGTAGACCTACTGACTGAAGGGTCCTGGGTTTGATTCTGGTCAAGGGCACATGTCTGGGTTGCGGGCTCAATCCCTGGTAGGGGGCATGCAGGAGGCAGCCAATCGATGATTCTCTCTTATCATTGTTGTTTCTATCTCTCTCTCCCTCTCCCTTCCTCTCTGAAATAAAAAATATATATATTTAAAAAATAAAATAAATTGAGCAAAACAGCAGCACTTCTGAATAGAGATTATTCAGTTACTAAGCTGTCTACATTTGTTTCAGAGGTCAAAACAAAATTTTCCATAAGAGCTTTTAACAATAACAAATAAGCATACACAAGAATGCAAAAAAACCAACAGTGAGTATAAATCAAAATGAATTACAAAGAAAGTTAGTGTTTTATTTTAGCATATATGAAAGGCTATGTGTAAGTAGCCAACAATGTTCTCACCTACAATGGAGCAAAATGAAGTGTTTAAAGAGCTGTGTTGATCAAGTATTACCATTCAAGTGATGATAAAGCAATGATTTAAGTAGAAAGTAAAAAAATTTTCCTCAAATAAAATTTTTATGATATGCTATATTAAAAGCATAAATTTTATAAAATGCCATAAATCTAAGATTAAGAATCAGATGGAATATGAATCCACTTTACATAGCAATTATTATTAGTCTTTAAAATGTCCACTTTCATAAATAAGAAAATTTCTAATAGTATGATTTTTTTCTGAACTTGAGCATAATTACCTTGAAAAATATTTTTATGTGCCAATCTGCAGTAAAGCAGTTATAAAATTGTGAATTCAAAAGTCCCCACCCACCTAATAGGTAATTCAGTGAAGAAAGAATACTTCCTTTTTTCACAAATACAAATTTCAAATAGCTAATAAGCTCACATTAAACTTGAGGCTTGTTTCCATTACTGGTTGGCATATCTCTTAATTCTTCACAAATACCAAAGATGACTTGGATAGAACTTTTTTTGAAATTTGAAAAATCAATATTTTCTTTCAGTGTCTCTGAGAAACTAACTCGTGAGGCAGAATGACGTATAGATGGAAACCAGGAGTTTTGAGAGCGCCCACCAGTAGAGTGTGAGCACTGAGCATAGACATGCTTAGTAAATCCAATTGTACTGCTTGTGGAAACTGAATGGATAATCTGTTAGAACAGAAATAAGCAATGGAGAAAAGGACATGAATGTCTGAAAGATATTTTAGGTACTTCTTATTTATATTGTCTACGTCAGGGGTCCTCAAACTTTTTAAACAGGGGCCACAGCTCACTGTTCCTCAGACGGTCACAGGGCCGGACTATAGTTTAAAAAAAAACTATGAAAAAATTCCTATGCACATTGCACATATCTTATTTTGAAGTAAAAAAACAAAACGGGAAAAAATGCAATATTTGTATTTGCATGTGGCCCGCAGGCTGTAGTTTGAGGACCCCTGGTCTACATAAAAGTGACAAAATCACAAATAATACAAATTAACTTACTAAAAAGTGTCTAAAAAAATCCAGTTACTTTCATTTGAAAAGCAATGTTTATAATAGTTATTATAGGAAATAAACAAGGGACAGTTCTTTGGCCTTCAGAAAGCTTATAATCTATTTTAATAAAGAAATGCTTACTGTTTTTTGTCAATTTTAATATATTTTTTAATTCATTTAATATATTAATAAAATTTCTATTCATGTTTATATTATCAGCTACGTATTAGAAGTTTAACCTTGATCAAATACCATTATAAACATGCTCTGCCCTGGCTGGGTGGTTTGGTTGTTTGGAGTACCCTTCTGCCCACCAAAAAGTTGTGGGTTTGATACCCAGTCAGGACACATAACCTAGGTTGTGGATTTGATCCCCAGTTGGGGCACGGGGCATGGGGGACGTACAGGAGGCAACCAATCAATATTTCTCTTTCACATCGGTGTTTTTCCCTATCTCTAAAATCAATAAAAACATATCCTCAGGTGAGAATTAGAGGATTTAAAAAAAATCCGTGTAAACATGCTCAGAGTCAGCTGTAACTCTTTGATGTATTAACTAAAGATCTAACTAGCTTTTTTTTTTTTTAATTTACTTGAGGGTATTACAGATGTCCTCCATTATTCCCCATTGCCCACCCCACCTGCTTCCTGCTCCAACCCAGGCCTTCACACATGAATGCCACTGTCCATGGACTATGCATATCTATATATATATATAAAAGCCCAAAGACCGGAATGGCGGAAGGACTAGTGGCTATGAAGCACACTGCACTGCAGCAGCCAGCCTGATCTGGGCCCCGACCAGCACCCAACACCTCAATCAGGGGCAGGGCCGGCCGCCAACCGCCCATGGCCCCTTTCCCCAGCTGGCCCCTCCCTGGACCCCTCTCCCCAGCTGGCCCCACCCCCGATTGGCCCCCACCCGACCCCATTGCCCCCCCACCTTGATTGGGGGTAGGGTCCACTGGCCATCCACTCGCGGCCCCTCCTCCCCCCCCACCAGCATGATGGGCCCCCATCGGGGTGGGCCAGCCTGACCCCACCTGTGCACGAATTTGTGCACCGGGCCTCTAGCATATGTATGTAAGTTCTTAAGTCATTCTCTGCCTGCCATTCCCAACACCCCTTCCCTCTGCAATCCCTCAGTCTATGCCATGCTTTCATGCCTCTGGGCTGATTTTGTTCATTAGATTCCAAAGTCTGTATAGATTTTATATAATAAAAACACTAGAGCAGCCTCGGGGTGACTACTCATCATGAACTGCCCAATTAGGGATTTATGATTTATTACAGCACCCCTTTTTTGTCCACAAGATCCAAAGTGCAGAGTTCAAGAAGTGTATTAATGGCGCAGGGAACAGTCCATACAAAGCCTCTACATGGATTAGCTTAGAGTTTTTTAAGGAAAGCAAAAAAGCCAGTGTGACTGAAATAGGATTGGGGGGGGGGGGGACATGTGTTAAAGGAAAGGGTGGAAGAACAGAGTATGTTGCCTTGGAAAAGTCTGATATTCTAAGTGTAGAGGGAGATAAATGAGGAACTGGGAACAACAGGGGTTCTCTCTAGCAGCCATGGGTAAGGTGCAAGAGGATGGGGTAAAAGGAGCAAAAAAAAAATACTAGAGCACACACTGTGTGCCAGGGACTGATCAAAGCACTTTTCATAAATTAACTTATTTAACCCTTACAACTGCTATGTTAGATTCATTTTACAGATAGTGAAATTGAAACAGAGATCTTTAATAATGTATCAAAAGCCACAGAGCTAGTAAACAGCAGAGTTGAGATTTGATCACATGAGTTCTAGAGTTCATGCTCTTAGTTACTACACAAAATGCTCTCACTATATAATCACATCATATAGGTATATGTGTATGTGTGCGTACTTAGTCCTTACAATAACACCATAAAGTACTATTATTAATCTCTTTTCCCTCATCTGCAAAAATGGGAATAAGAGAACAAGAAACTTGCTAAAGGACACATAATTGAATAATCAGCACTTGCTTTTTTTATCCTTAGAAGGTTAGGTTAATCCTATCTAATAAAAGAGAAACATGGTAATTGGCATACGACCGCTACCCTTCCCATTGGCTAATCAGGGCAATATGCAAATTAACTGCCAGCCAAGATGGTGGCCAGCAGCCAGGCAGCTTGAAACTAACCTGAGGTTTGCTTGCCTCAGTGACGAAGGAAAACAACGTTCCCTGCCTGCCTGCCGCTGCAGGCTTCTGAGCTGCAACTCTAAGCAACTATGTAACAAATATAGAAGCTAAACAAAACCCCAGAAACCTGCTTTAGTCCGCCGGGCTTCAGCCAGCAGGATCACAACATTGTAAGCAAAGGCCAGAAACCTACTTTCAGCAGTGGAGGCCTAAGAGCTGGAGCCAAACCTCAAAGCTAAAGCTGGCTCAGAATTTTAAAAAAAGAAAAAAAGGAGCGGTTGGGAGCTTCATTCACCCACCAACCTGAAAACAGCCCTCAGCCCCTCACCCAGACTGGCCAGGCACTCCAGTGGGTACCCCCACCCTGAAGGGGCTGTGACCAGCTGCAACAGCCATCAGCCCCTCATCCAGGCTGGCCAGGCACCGCAGTGG